ATGCCATTTTTTTCTTCTTATTCCTTCTGTCCCATTGATCAAATCCACTCAAACTTGAGCACCCAAATCAGAAAACATCTCAACTCATCACTTTCTTTTCCTACAAGGAAAAAACCAACTCCAACGCCTATACAATCATTTTAAACAACCCAACATTGTTCCTTAGAGAATATAGGACAAGAGAGAAACACAAAGCCTTCAATGGAGATACGTAAAGGGTCTCAATCAGCTCAAAAGCACCCAGCTAACTTAGCTCTTTCACCATATTCTTCTTCCTCCTCCTGCTCCTCTTTTAGTGCTAGCGTTGTGCCTCTTATCTGCTCTCCGGTCGAACAAACCGCACTGTACAATGTATCAATAAAATCACTACCAAAAAAATATGTTTTTTCTAACGAAATTTTTCGTTATAATGTTTCAATAAATTTGAACTTACTTCCCATTCCTTCTGTTCCAGCATGGCCTTAGTTTCTATCTCTCTTATTGACTCGCACTACGCACTAGGGTAACTGTTAATAAATAATCATTTCAAAAAAATCAATATCTGTTGAATTAAGTGCATGACAAATGGTTCTCCGTCTATAATTCTTTATAGACACAAAGACCATTCACTAACTTAAAAAGTTTAAAATGAAATACTTAAATGAGATTTTTTTATTGAAATTAAAAAAATTATTAAAATTTTATTTTTCTAATTTTTTGAAATGTAAAATTTTTAATTAAATTTTTATAATAAAGTTTTTCTAATATTTCTTTAATAATTTCTTATTCGTTAATAATTTGATTCATTATTTTTATTATTTGTAAAAAATTGAAAATAACTAGATTCATATTTTTCATTTAACATATTCAAATATTTATTATGAAGTAAAAAAATTATTTAGATATTATAATTATTTTATATTTTTTAAATGGTTAATATAAAATCAATAATCAAAATTTTTAATTCAAATAAATCAATTATCACATAAAATAAAGATAATAAAATAATGTAATATAAACTCTAAAATTCAAGTAAAAAAATACAAAGATTAGAATAATAGTACCTAATTTTTAAATAAACCACAAATGAGACTCATCACTTTATGAAGATTATAGTATAGCAAACTTCCTATGTATTTTTTGGAGTAAAATTGAGGTTAAAGGAAAAGAGAGCAAATGAGGAAGAAAAATTTAAAAATGGATATTATAAATTGAAAAAAAAATTAGTTTTATATATAGGTAAAATAATTTATGTCAGAAATATTAGATACGTATTACCGTTAGTTGATTGCAAATAGAAGAAATATATGAAAAAAAAATAGATGTTGAAGATCATTAAATCGATATTACTATTAGTTGATTGAAAATAGGACAAATAAATGAAAATTAATAGCATTTAGGAATTGAAAGGAGATAAAAATAGAGATTTATTAGACACATAATTAAGAAAAATGAGAAAAAAATATCATTTTGTTAATTATCTTTGACTTTTATATATTTTTAATAGAAAATTAGATAATTAGTTGAGAATTAATAAGAATGTGAAAGTGAGAGAAAATAAATATTTATTAAATATGAGAGAATAGATAAATATTTTATTAATTATTTTAATTTTTATATATTTTGAATATAATTAATTATATTATTATTTTAAAATTATAGGATCTTTCAAAATTTGAGACCTATAAATCTTGCTTAGGTAACCTTAACCAAAGGTCAGCCTTGAATCTTTCTCTTTACGCTTTTAATTCCTTTAAAAATTATTTCTTTTAATTACCTCTAAGAATCGCCTCAAAAATGGCAAAAAAATTGATCTTTGCTCGATTTCTGGCTTGATTCTAAGTTTTATATTTATTACTCAGTTTTCAAAGCCATTATTCTGTTCATCCTTCAGAATCTTAACCCCATTAGTTTTTTTTTGTTTTTTTTTTAATTTTTCCATAAAAGAAGTTACAAGTGAAAAGGAAAGAATTGATTTTTCCTTTATCTTGTTCCCGAAGTTAGCCAAATCTAATTTTAATGGAAGAAAAAGAGGATAAGATAGGAGTTAAAGCAAACAAAGTTTTTTTAATTTTTTTATATATTTTTTAACAAAATCTTTAATATTTAGTTTTAAGTTTTTAAAAGTTTTTTAATTTTACTTTGTTTCATTAATGAGATGATAACATTTGATAAATTGACAATGTATAAAAGTTATTAATTGTCTCATATAAAACCTTTTACAAATGAAAATTATTGAAAGAATCACAATATATTTTTTTTATTTGAAAATTACCCTTTGATCTTGTTGCCTACTTGATGTCTTCACCTCTAACTTCTAAGGACTAAGAAAATATCCCTAAAAAGTTGGAAAGGCAATCACCATAAAACAATTTGGCCCACACTCTGTGCGGCATAAGAGATAATGTAACTGTTTAAGCACATTGCTGTTTTTTGATAAGCTAAGCATAAACTCCCCACATTCATCCACTTCCTTTTCTGTTTGCCATCTGAGCCTATGTATGTCTTTTCTTCTTTCTCTACTATTCTGCATCACATATATTCATAAGTACAGATTCATATACTTTTTTTAGGTGAAATATCCTTACTTTTTAAATTTGAATCAAAATTATATAAAAATTTATTAGTTTCAAAATATACACTCCACTTAAAACGGCTTAATATTAAATATGATAGGTTTAAAATGTTTTTTTTTTTCAATATTTTCTTTCTCAAGCTGGCCGACCAACGACATCTCGCACTGATTGATGCTCCCTGCAGATGAGGTGTTTGTAGGAAATGACCTTAAGTCGTCATTTTTTTCTGAAAAACATGTTGAACATGCTTCTCCAATCTAATTTTGGCAATATGATGGTAGAAAAAAGGGGTTGGAATTC